TACATCCTTCGTTAGATTTATTCCTAGGTATTTTATTCTTCTTTAAGCAATCTTGAATGGGTTTGCTTTCTTAATTTTCCTTTCTGATAGTTCATTATCAGCATATAGAAATGCAACTGATTTCTGGACATTAATTTTGTATTCTGCTACTTTGCTGAATTCATTTATCAGTTCTAGTACTTTGGTGGTGATCTTTAGGGTTCTCTGTGTACAGTATCATGTCATCTGCAAATAAAGACAGTTTTACTTCTTCCTTTCCAGTTTGGATGTCTTTTATTTCTTCTTGCCTGATTGCTGTGGCTGGGACTTCCAGAACTATGTTGAGTAAGAGAAGTGAAATCGGATATCCCTGTCTTGTTCCTGATCTTAAGGGGAACGCTTGTATTTTTTGAACAATGTTTCTCTTTAATATTTTGTTAGTATAATTTTATATCTAGTTTAGAAAGGTTCCCAAGGTACCTAGGAAACTTGTTCATATTGACTTTTATCTTTATTAAACTGGTTAAGGAAACCAGACACTTTCACAGTGAATTTAATGTGTGTCCTTACTGCAATATGTTTTACATTGCATATCCAGTACATTGTCTCTAGGATCATAACTTATTAATTTGATTAAGATCAATGTATAAGAATTGCACCAAAAATGTATAGAATTTGCAATAGGTGATTTATGTGAATAAAGAGTAAATATATATTTTAGATATTTTGGTTTGTGCATAAAATGTACCTTTGATAATAATTAGTCAAGAAGCTGGTGGTTCCCAAAGTACTAGCATACTCTAAATCTGTATTTAGAAAACAACAACAAAAAATACATGTATTAGATTTCTGCAAATAAATATCAATAGTATACAATATTTTACTAATTTTCTAAAACTGATCATTTCCAAATTCTATGTATGGAATTCTACATTAAAAATGATAACTTCAACCTTTATAAATTTCACTTAAAGTACATAATACAAAAGAAAACCTTTTCAGAAGGTTATTCTAGTAAAAGGATTATAAGATTGGTAACTTGAGATGCTTTCTGGAACGTACGCTACTAGTTCAAATGTACAAGCTCCAACTTCACAAATCTTTAAAATATTTGAGTTTTTAAAACAGTGCCAAAATAAACCACATCTTTTCTAGAGATGACATATTTAGCTAAGCGCAAGCAATATACATCTTTCACCCATTCCATGTATTTGTTTAAAAACCTCAGAAACCACGTGTATTTCTAATAAAACATGACCAAAATACTGAAATCACTGAAGCCTAACAGTTGACTTATAAATCAATTTTTTAAAAGGCAAATGTATTTTTCTGTTTGTGAGTATATATACCTGTGTATAGATATATGCATGTGGACTATATCTATGAATATAGGTATACATTATCCATGTTATAGCTATGAAGACAGATTAATTGTAAATAAACAACACATTACTGTGTTGTGAAAAATTTGGGTTCCATACAAACCCTATATGAGAAGACAAAATGTGTAAGCCATGGCTATTTTAACATTATAATGTGATTTATTAATCATGAGCATTTGAAAATAGAAACCTTGTAATTATAATCTTTAAAAGTACTACACATAAAAATGCTTTTCTATGCAACTATATGCAATATAAAAACTATGAATTTTTAATATTCTAACCTTTTTTTGTGAAAAGACCCTTAATTTTGTCACTCTATGATCTAATAATCAGATTCTTCAGGTTATTTGAATAAATACAGAAAGGACCCAGTTTCTCACTGAAAAAGGGAAATTATTTTATGAGGTAAATATTTTAAATAATTTTAACATGTGGCTCATTTTATAAAAGTAGAATGGAATTTTCTCATATGAAAATAATTAACTATTGACTTCACCATAACTGCTTATACCTTGCTTATAACCAATGTCCTTGCTTGTAACTTGCCTATACCTGGATTTATCTCTAACATTTGTTCTGGGGAGGTGGAGTAAGCCTTGAAGTTTAGATATCCAATTGATAAAGCTACATTGTCAGGTTTTAACATAAGACCAAATTAAAATAGTAAAAAGCAACTCAGTTATTTTTTATTAACAATGAGTTGTCACAATATTCCTAATTAGTGAAGGTTAAGACAAAGCATGCTATAGAGAAGTAGCAATAATGCGATGCTATTTATGTACACATGCAGTTTACATTATTGTATTTCCTTGAAAGAAATGCACACAATCTTGATTTTTAGAGAATTCATACATATGTACACAAAGAAATGGTACATGGTAACAGAAATTGTAAGAGTTAAAATTTTTATTAATTTATCTTTCTTTTTAGGCCCTGGCCAGGTAGCTGAGTTGGTTAGAATGTCCTCCCAATACACCAAGGGTGCAGGTTTGACCTCCAGTCAGGGCACATAACAAGAATCAACCAATGAAAGCACAAGTAAGTGAAACCACAAATCAATGTTTCCCTCTCTCTCTCCCCACCTCCTCCAACTTCTAAATTCAGTAAAAAAAAAAAAAAAAAAAGAGAGAGAGACAAAGAAAAATTTTTAATAGAAGGGTTTGGAGGCCTATTGTTTGCAAGGTATTTTAGTCATAAGATCTTAGTGGTAAATCCTAGCCAATCTTTGGCTAATTCCTGGCCTCTCTGGGTCTGTGTCTTCATCTGTAAAATGTATGTAATAATAATAACAATAATACTGAAATTGTCATCATTATCATTATGTAGCTGATATATAAAATTTATTATTATTACATGGTTGTTAATAGAATAAAAAATATAGATGTGAAAAAACTTTGCAAATCATCAAGTGCTATACATATTTGTATTATCTTTTCTGCCTTTCTTCTAAATTGCTTATTTTCACAAGAAATGAATTCTCATGTTACTGGAGGAATTAGACTTGATGTTTACAGCAAACTCAGAGAAACATCTCTGGGTATCTTCAAATACTTCTGAAGTTGCTTTACTATCGAATATGTAGAGAACTGATCTTCAATGAGTAAGCTTATTTCTTCATACAAAAAAGACAATTTGAAACGTTGGTGGACATTTTTAAGCGTAAGAAATCAATTAATGATAATATTGGCTATAATACTTAGCATTTGTAATTATGTAGACAATTCATTTTCAAGGGGATGTGTGGTATTTTGGGGTGATTATCTACATTGAACAATAGTAGATATTAGAATTGTTTTGTAACTAACTTTATAGTATCAAATTCTAGAAAACTTCTGGATATTGATTATAGCAACTGGTTGCTGTAATCTGATCATTTCTAGAACAAAATGTTTGGAAATTGTAAAATAACTTCATGCTACAGTTTGTGCTTTATAAAGCCCCAAGCAAAATAATTCACGAAAGATTTGTCTATTCTTCAGGACTAAACTGAAAATTCAAATTTCCTTGGGGTTGATTTGAAGAGGACTCAGGAATGGACAATTTTGCAGCAATTGTTTCTCTTTACTTACCTTCACGATGTGAGAGATGCTGTTCCTTCACATGTGAAATGGTTACACATTTCAATTAGAGCCCAAAGACGACTCCATGTATGAACAAATTATTTGGAATTTCCCTATTTGTACAGTCACTGGCCTATGAGAGACTACAGAGATATCCAGGTACCTTGTTTTTAACCCTTGTTGTTCTTTATTTTCTAATTCTCATATCTTAAAAAATAATTAGAAGCAGGCAATGTGAGTAAATTCTAAATTTAAATTCAATGGGATGATTCTAACTCTCAGCTAACTTAATGGATTTAATAAGAGAGAAACTGATGTTAGTATTATGATTCTTTTGTCACTCTGTGATAAAGCACCTTATGTTTCCCCACAGAGTAAAAAAAATCAAGTGGATAATCTCCAGTGGCGTATGAAGGAATGGTGCATCTTGAAAACAGGTAATGATAGATTTAGTTTAATCTTAAAGACAAATTAAAGAATTGTATGGACTTAGAAAAATTTTCACTTGCCTATAAACTTTTCATGAATTCAATCTCTATTTGTCTTTTTCATTCAGTTCTAGACATAATCATTTTCTATTGGCCTTTCATCTATTCAATCTAAAGGAAAGAAAATATTTTTCCTAGAGCCATATAAAAATCTTAGTTTTATTAATAATTTCATATGGTCATATGTGACTGCTATGTTGTAACTATTTTGAGTTATCTCAAGTAAAAAAAGTAGGTAACCTGAATCAAGTTGTACGTTTGCTTTTTTCTAAGACCATACGTTTTTATATTATAATTTTATTGCATTGTACATATTGGATTCTCCTTCTCCACAACAAAAATTCAAATTAAATGAAAATAATAAAAAAGACTACTTAACATGTTTGATAGCCTCTTGCATGCTGGCACAGATAGATTTTCAAGCTAAAAATGTCTCACTCTATTAGACAGACTTGGCAATTTCTACAGCTTAAGTAAAATCTAGATAGTTACTCAGACCAAACATTAAAAAATATCGACATGAATTTACAAGTACACATTAACAATATCTTTTTTATTGAAATCAGTCAGCAATATTTTTAGTGAAGAAATCATGCCTTGATTAATGTAATTTTGATGTACCAAACTCTTACTAAAAGAAATTATACATTTAATTCTTAGTATCTATACTTAATATTCTTTAATACTAATAAAGATTAGATGCATGCATTGAAGGAAGACTATATACTCTTATGTCTCAGCTTCTTTCATTAGGTAAGAAATAAACGCTATATTGAAAAAAATGCATGTATTTGAAGTTTTGACCTAACACAGTGGATTAAGGTTTAGACAATATTTACTTTGCTGCATTCTGATTCAGAAAGGACCATATGTGAAGATACTATCCTAACCAACTTCACCATGTTTCTATAATAGTCTCTTAGTAAAAAGGGTGATATTAAATATAGTGAGATAGAAAATAAGTTACAACATAAACTACAACTTTATAGCTACTCATTGGTAAAAGTCTGTAGTTAATACATTTGGATAAATAACTCAAGTCAGCAACAAAGTGGTTAAACATTTGTGATTTGATTTTATCTCAGCTTGGAATGTGGTTGGAGTGTCCCACTTCTAACAACTGTTTGCTAAGTTAAGGCTTTAGTGTTTACACAGTGTTGAATGAAGCAGCCTGGTCACCAGATGTGATTGCTTCCCAGACTGTCGTTTTCTCAGTCAGATCACTGTCCTCACGGTCCCTGTTCCAACCTTTTTCCTCAGGACGTCCACCAGCCTTTCCAACCTAAATTAGGGGCAGGGGGTGGTGGGGAGGGTGGAAAGAGAAAAAAATGAGTATAGCGAGTACAATTACTGTCAGGAATGTTTTGGCTGAAAAAGGACAGTATTTGCCCGTGACCAAGCGGCCCTGGCAGTCATGTCGAGAAACAAAGCATCAATATAAGCAAGACACACTGGTGCAGACTGCCAAGTATTTGAGGTTAAAAAACAGCAACAGCACAAACTTTAGCCCAGATCTTCAGATTATGTCACCATTAGATGCTACATGAAAAACATAAGATACTCATTTCAATACATTTACCAACTTGCATTAAGGTTATGAATCTACCATTTACTGAGCGATGACAGGAGGGCACATTAAACACAGAGCAGTTTCAAACCGATTTTACCCTAAGAGGCACTCGTTTCAATGCAGAAATACTAGCAATCTTCTGCCTGTTACTTAGCTAAAAAAGTGACACGTAGGTCTACTGCACAATTCTTATGCATTATATTTCTTTTTCATAGAGTCACCCCATGAAAATAAAGCCAGGGATTAGGTGACTAGGTGGGAAAAACTTCGTGTCTCAGTGGCATGAAAATAATTTAAATATACACAAATGATTCTATGGTCATAAAACCAGACTTTCTGTAGCACATTTAAAAACTTTGTATTCCTGAGTAGTATAAATAGGCTTTTTGGTCAAAGAGAAATGATTTTTAGTTCATTAAAAACTCACCAATTATACTGAAAATAGAGGGAAAAGGTCTGAAGTCCAATCTGTAGCATTTTTAGGCTACTCTATGGGAGGGAGATCACATTCATGTGGATCAGTGAGAGTTCTGCTTGACAAAAGATGATGGAATCAGACCATTCCTTTTTTTTCTTTTATTTTCTTTACTGAACGTATAAAACGTTAACTGAAAATGTGCTTGGTGTTATACACAGAGAAATCTTTATTATAAGTGAAAAGCATGCCCAGCAGTTCTCATATACACAGTCTTCCGTCCTCAGAGACTGCTGAGCGGCACAGTCTAGTCTGCCCCAGCTTGCCTCATTTATATGGATCTGCGCATGAGGGTCCTTTGCAAATAAACTTAGGGCAGAGCTAGACACTAAAGGAATGAGGATATTCTTAGTGTCATACACACTGGTTCAGATGACTCATCAGCTGCATCCAGCACTGAAAACTCGCTCCAGGTTACTGGATGATTCTGCATATACTGAATCCCGTTAGAAAACAGGAATATGAAATGGAAGAATTGGGTGCACTGAAACATCTTTGCTTTGAGAAATGTAGTAATGGTCTTAGAGTGAAAAGGCAAATCTATCCTATGTTTGTCACTACAAATTTCTCAAATGGAAGCTATACAAGTATTAGACATTCACTAAAAGACCTTCAGACTAGTGGTGCAAATACTTGAATTGGAAGATTCACTGGACAATTCACTCTATTTGGAGATCAGTTTGTGTAAGTTGGACGAGTGATAAAAACTAGTGCTATCTTATCCACTAGAAATTGAGAGTCATAGGATTACATAATTCCTTTAGACAAAGTTTCACTACCTCGAATTGTAGAAGGGGGGAAGAAAGTCGGTATAAATTTTTTAATGTATTGTTAAAAGATAATTAACGGTTGACAAACAGCTGCCAGTTGAAATCCTGAGGAGACATTAAGAGCATATCGCCACATATACTGTAAAAGGGAAGGAAATAGTTATTTTCAAGTTGGCTAAATATATACCACAAAATCATCCACTTTATTAAAAAAAACTTCCTGATAATGTATTATCAAAGTAAACTCTATTCTGTGTAATTATTATCACTACAAATTCCAAGTCCATGGAATCCCATATTACTGAGATAAATCTGTGTGCTTCTTTTGGCTTCTCCTTTACAGACAGGCTCTTCTTACTTTTGTTTCCTTTGTATACATTAGGACTTTTTTAGTACATTTTACTAAGGGAAGAAGTTAGGAGGAAATACTTAAATATCATGTTTTGCAATGTCTTTACTATATTTCAACAATTACTAGATCAACCACATTCTCAGTTTATCCAGGTTGAATGATTTATGAAAATTTGATCTCAGAAATGAGAAAAATGTCAATTACTTAGTTTTGTAAAAGCTTACTGACTTCTGAAACACAATGAAGCACCTATTCCTTCCTGTAAGGAATGAAATGCACCTGCCAAGCGCTGACTGTGCCAACAGGAAGGTAGATGTGTATGTCTGTTGAAACACCTTGCAGGATTTGCCTGTGGGCTATTCTTTACTGTCCAAATTGAAAATATCCTTTAAAAAATTATGTCACTTACTAAAATAGGCTACAACTCCTCTACATTTTACTCAACAATAGCTTCCCAAGGGCTTCATGACATTGGAAAAAGGGTAGAGCTAGGGTTAGAATTTCTCCATTTTTAATATGAAGAAACTGAAGCTTAGCCAAGTAAACCCTTGTATGAGGTTCTGTGGTAAAAGTGACAAATCTGGGCCTAGTTTCCTTGTTCTTAGTTCAAAGCTACTTCCACTAGGGTCTGGGTTACTGGAGAACTAAAGATTTCAGATTATTGGTTAATGGATTATTTGTCTGAATAGCTTCATTAATTTTTTTCCTCAAGTTCTTACTTAAGTCAAATTGGGAACATATTTGTTGGTGTATTTCTTCTGCTATTTCAGTAACTCATTATAGAAGGGTAAATTGGTGACATTGCACATAGTTAGGAGTTAGTAGTTTCAGTCTATTTTTGCTGTAATTTCTATATAAATGTGAAAAAGTTATATTTGATAGAAATCCTATTTATTTCAAATGACACTATTTTTATATTTTCTATGTATCTATGTAATAGTATGTAGTACAATGAAATACATACAAGGTTTGTCCAGAAATATCCAACCATGCGATATGAAAAAGAGACAGTTATTGAAGCAGATACAAGACACAAGTAACACTGTACATAGTGCATTGATGTCTCTCAGCCCTCTTCAAAGTAGGCACCTTGAGACCTCATGCAGCTCTCCCAGTGTCTCCTACTGTTTAAGACACTCTGCAAAATCCTCTGTTGGAATTGCCATCAGGTGCCCCATCCTATGAGTCTCATTGATGGTCTGAAATCTCTACCCTTTCAAAAGTGATTTTCGTTTTGGGAAGAGCCAGAAGTCACAGGGTGCCAAATCAGGGTTGTAGGGTGATTTAATGTTTTGCCAAAAAACTCTGCATGAGATATGATGTCTGAGAGGTCTCGTTATTGTGATGAAGCTGCCAATTCCCTGGTGCCTACTATAGCTACAGCCTTCTGAATCATCCAAATAGTTTCTGTGGAGGAATGTTCAAGCTTAATGGAAAATTTGATGCAGATTCATTGCTCAACTCACTCAGCCACTCAGTCATTCTGAATGCGATGGCACACAGTACATATGCTCACTCAACAGTGTCTACCACCTCCACTGACTAGTGGGGTGAAGTTGTCATCATTCACACATGTACATTCTAGTCTGCTCTCCTTGGCTGCCAGGTTACTTTGATGTCATTCAAACTGTTCTTGTTATATTAACACTGGCTAGACCTTTTCTGGACAGACCTTGTAGTTTTATTTTTCATTTTATTTATTTATTGAATTTATTGGAGTGATGATGGTTTACAAAACCATACAGATTTTGAGTGTACAACTCAGCAAAACATCCTCTGCATACTGTATCGTGCGTCCATTGCCCAAAGGCAGTCTCTTTCTGTCCCCATTTATCAACTCTTTACCCCTCCTCCACCCACCCTCCCCCTCCCCCCACAGTCAATTCCCACTCTGTTGTCCATGTCCATGGGTCATTCATACATTTTCTTTGTTTAATCCCTTCCCCTTCTTTCCACCATCGTCTTCTTTCCCCATCCCCTCTGGTCACTTTCAGTCTGCTCCATGTTTCCATGCCTGTGGTTTATTGTGTTTGTTAGTTTATTTCGTTGAATAGATTCCACTTATAGGTGAGATCATACAGTATTTGTCTTTCACCGACTGGCTTATTTCACTTAGTATAATATTCTCCAGTTCCATCCATGTTGTTGCAAAAGGTAGGAGTTCCATCTTCCTTCCTTCCTTCCTTCCTTACTTCTTTCCTTCCTTTCTTCCTTCCTTCCTTTTTAAATGCAGATTGATTTTATTTATTTTTTAAAATGTCAATTATAAAATATTAAAAAATTTAAAACCATTGTAAAGTCTCAGCAATTAAAACAACATGACACCAGCACAGAAATAATCAAGGAGATCAATGAAATATAATGAGCATTCTAGAAACAAACGTATATATCTAACACTGTAATATATGATTAAATTGATATCTCAAATCAATGGGGGAAATAAGGATTATTCAACAAATAAGGTGCATGATCCACTATTACTTGAAATAAAACAAATATAGAGCCCTATTTCACACATCATAAAAGATATATTCAGGTGAGGTAAAAATCAATATGTAGAATCTAAGGAGTTTTAGGAGAAAATACAAAATAATATTTTTCTTACCCTGAAGTCAAATATTCAAACCCAGAAGCTATAAAGTAAAATATTGACAATATGACTATATTAAACATTTAAGACTATATAGTAATATACACATAAAAAAGTTAAAGGACAAGTAATAGAATGGGAAAGTATTTGCCACACATCTAAAAAAGGGTTAATAGTTTTCGGTTTTTTTTTTTTTTAGGGAAACAAATTCTACAAACCTTTAATCAAAAAACTGATAAAGAATACCAAAAAGTCATTTAAAGCTTTTTAAAAATAATAGAAATAGGCAAGAAATATACAAAAACAGGTATAGTTTCAACACATAATAAAGGAACAATTAAAATAACACATCACTGTCACAATCAGATTAATATGTATTAAAAAATATTGGTAATATCACGTATTAATGACTGTGAAAAGAACTGGGTATCTATAGACTTTTTTCTTCACCTAAAGCAGTCCCTCTAGCAGATTTGGCAATGCTGGGTCAGTGGAGGTGTATTCTTTTAGCCTTCTTTTGTCTGG